ATCAGTGCATCATAGGTCTAGAACAGGGTTTCTCAAGCAGGATTCCATGTTACTCTAGGGTTCCTCCAGAGGTTGCTGGGGGTTCCTTGAGCAATGAGCAATTTATGCCTCTCAGATAAGTTCCCACTGACACCATTGATCTTTTTAGCTATCTGTAAGGGGGTAATTCTTCCCAATGGCCACAAGTGTAAGGAGACTTCTTCCCACTGACCATCACACTAATGTATCAGGAGTTGTAGATAGAGTAATTTTTAGTAGGGGTTCCCTGAGACTGGAAAGTTAGTTAAAGAGTTCCTCTGTGTTGAAAGGTTGAGAAAGGCTGCTCTAGAACCTCTAGAACAGCAATGGGCAAACTACGGCCCGGCGGACCTTTTAATCCGGCCCGCGGATGTGGCTGTCAGGATGTGTGTAGGCGGGGCAGCATGACGAACGTGAGGGGAGCTAGGCTCCTCTCACAGTCCGCCCTGAAGACCGGAACGGTGCGGGAACACGGCGAGAGGAACGCGCGCAGCAAAGGTAAGTGAATTGACACAGGGGGGACTTGGCTTACTACTTGGGGGGGAATAGTACTGTGGGGATGAAAAATACTATATGAGGGATGAATTAATATGGGGGATGAATTAATATGGGGAATGAATTACTATATGGGGGATGAATTACTATATGGGGGATGAATTACTATGGGGGATGAATTACTATGGGGGATGAATTACTATGGGGGGATGAATTACTATGGGGGATGAATTAATATGGGGAATGAATTACTATATGGGGGATGAATTACTATGGGGGATGAATTACTATATGGGGGATGAATTACTATAGGGGGGATGAATTACTATATGGGGGATGAATTAATATGGGGAATGAATTACTATATGGGGGATGAATTACTATAGGGGGGATGAATTACTATATGGGGATGAATTACTATGGGGGATGAATTACTATAGGGGGATGAATTACTATGGGGGATGAATTACTATATGGGGATGAATTACTATAGGGGATGAATTACTATATGGGGGATGAATTACTATATAGGGATGAATTACTATGGGGGATGAATTACTATATGGGGGATGAATTACTATGGGGGATGAATTACTATGGGGGATGAATTACTATATGGGGGATGAATTACTATGGGGGATGAATTACTATATGGGGGATGAATTACTATATGGGGGATGAATTACTATATGGGGGATGAATTACTATGGGGGATGAATTACTATATGGGGGATGAATTACTATGGGGGATGAATTTATAGGGGGGATGAATTACTATATGGGGGATGAATTACTATGGGGGATGAATTACTATATGGGGGATGAATTACTATGGGGATGAATTACTATATGGGGGATGAATTACTATGGGGGATGAATTACTATATGGGGGATGAATTACTATATGGGGGATGAATTACTATGGGGGATGAATTACTATATGGGGGATTAATTACTATGGGGGATGAATTACTATGAGGGATGAATTACTATATGGGGGATGAATTACTATGGGGGGATGAATTACTATATGGGGGATTAATTACAATGCTTACTATGGGGGAATATTACTATACTTACTATGGATGACACATACACATCATTCATCTACTCTTGGTCCGGCCCCTGGGTCCAATATATGAACCCATTGCGGCCCTCAAGTCAAAAAGTTTGCCCACCCCTGTTCTAGAACCTCTACATGTTCATTGTTGTAGAACTCCCAACTTCTGATCAGCAACCTTTGTGAGCCATAAAATTCTGACACCACACACAGCCTGTACTACCGATCATTATTCCACCCTATGCATCGCTATCTTAGAATATAATTTCACTTGATTTTCTTGATTTTCAATGCAAGAATCTGGATTTTCTTTTTTTTTTATTTTAAATTGACTTTTTGTTAACTTTTATAAATATAATTTTTTTAATTTCTTTAGTATAGCAAACATTTTCCAAGTAACCAGTTTAATGTCACTTTATCTGAGTGTCTGCAAATGTGCCTTAAGTACCCTGTATAAAATGTGTAACTTATTCATTTTTATGTTATTTAAAGCATTAAATTGATATTTTCGCTTGATTTAACAGACTCAAACACCCCGTGAGGCCTTTTGAAGTTGCCACCTAGGGTCCAAACAGCCACAAAATCTTTTTAAAACTGAACACCAGGTAAACAGCTAAATGCAGAAGAAAAAAAGGAAAAAAACTATTTATTTTTTATTTACAGCACTGTGCATAGGGTATAGGCAAGTGTGAAGAAATGCTGAAAAGTAAAAAATGCTTTTAAAAAGATATATTTCAATTGTTTATTTATATCAGTTTACAAAAATATGTAAAGTGAGCAAACAGAAGAAAAATATAAATCAAATCGATGTTTGCTATGACTACGCTTTGGCTTCCAACCCTCATCAGTTGAATTTATCAAGTTCTTTTGAAGAAGCAAATGAGGGACCGTAGATGCAATGGTCAGCCAAGAAAACTTAAAGCAGAACTCCATAAAAAAATGTATTTTCCCATGCAGTGGGACTGTGCCCGCACTGCATGGGTTAAGTGTCCGTTTTATCTATGGGCTCATGTAAAAACTGTACTTACCCATTCCTACGATCCTTCAGAAAACTGCACTCCCTCCACATCCAGCGGTGGACTGTTCCTGCCATCCTCACGTCCGGAGCTGGTCTATGTGCGTGATGACTTTAGGAACAGCCCATTGACAAGACCGCTAGCATGCAGGGGGGGAGGGAGCGCCAGGGACCGATTTTGCGCTCCAAGGATTGGAGGATTAGGTAAATATACCTTTGCTTTCTGAGGCCGTGTCAGGGCTCTGTCCTCGGTAGAGGTGTTAGGATACTTGGCACCCTGCCAGTACCTTGCATGGCCGCAGAAGTTCACATCGGCTCAAATTTGGTGCCAAACAGCCTTTATAAGGAATCCCTGCACTACTCTCAGGTGCTGGTTGATCTCTGGCTTCCCAGTACCTTGTTCCTGTTCCTGTGCTATTGTGATCTGTGATTTCCTGATACCGACTCGGCTTGCTCTTGGACCTGTCTACTCTGCTTAACCCCTGATCTGACCTCGGCTTGGCTAACAGATATGCCCTCTCACTTCTCTGTGTATGACCTCGGCTATCCCATCTGACTACATCTGCTCTGATCTCCATCTGGTACCTGACCTCAGCTTTGAACTGGCTATCCTGTGATCTTCTGTGTCCCGGAAGGCTTGCATGCCTCGCACAGGCACCACCTGTCTGCAGACCCCATCTCAGTGCATCAGCTGTGCTCCTGGGTGGACCACCAACGAGCACTCCTACAGGAGACCTGTGCCACTTTGGGCCAAACTCCCACTGTCTCACTCTCAGGGGAGTCTGGAACTTAGCCGCAAGGGAAGTCCTCTCTCTATTGGCCTCTAAACACCAGGTACATGATAGCCCCTAGACAAAAACAAGCATTCAACCCATGCAGTATGGGTACAGCACCACTGCATGGGAAAATAATAATTTTGACAGATTTCTTGCCAGAAGCAGATGGAAGGCACATCGTGTTAACTTCCCTTTGACATCGGGAGATGTCCAGCAGTGCCATCAGCACATATCTGGAGGAAACCAGTGGGACCCAGGTACACCCATTTACTGCCTGGAGAAGTCTGGCCGGAAGTGGTCTTCATGGAAGAATTGTGGCTGAAAAGCCATACCTCCAATGGGGAAACAAGACTAAACAACTCAACTATTCAGGAAAACATAGGAGGTGGGGTGCAGAAGAATGGTAGCAGGTGCTCCAGACTGATAGGCAGCACAGTGGCTAAATAGTTAGCACTTCTGCCTGGTAGTACTAGGGTTGTTGGTTTGAATCCCAGCCATGGCACCCCTGCCTGGAGTTTGCATGTTCTGCCTGTGTTGGTTTCTTCTGGGTACTCTGGTTTCCTCCCACACTCCAGACATCATGGTTGGTTAATTAGATACTGTCTAAATTGTCCCTAGTATGTGTATGTATGAATGTGAGTTAGGGACCTTAGATTGTGCACCCCTTGAGGGTTAGGGACTGATGTGAATGTACAATATATATGTAAAGCACTGAGTAAATTGATGGCGTTATATAAGTACCTGAAATAAAATAATAAATAAAACTAATGAGTCAAAATCCCCTCCTGATAGGATGTCCTCCCTAGGAGACTTGTGACACAGTGGAGATCCTTCCATCCAGCATCAGCCTGTAGGTCGGCCCCCTTCTCAGGCTCCACACTCCAGCACCTTCTCCCAATCCATCTTCCACCTGACTCCAAACCTGCTGCACAGGCTCTCTCACATTTAAAGTGTTACTAAACCCACAATAGTAAAATCAGCCTGTATATGCAGTAAAGCATGCTTGTTATATTCATTGTGGAACCTAAGGGGTTAATCCTCGGCATTGTGTAAAAAGGCTGTTTGATCCTGTCTTCTCTGCTCCTCCCCTTTTTCAAGTGACCACCGCTTATCTCCTGATAAGACAGACTGAATCGTAGACATTTTGCACATGCTCAGTTTGGAGTGCATTGCTAGAGAGGGTTTCTTTCTCTTAGAAGAGTGCATGTGATCAGCACAGGGCCAATCAGCACTGGTCAGACAGAGGTAAGGGGTTCTGCATCCTCCTAGAGCAGAAATAAAACTCCTCCTACAAACTTTAGCTAGTGCTTGGCTGGACACTGATAGAAGCCACAGGGCTGCTCTATACTGCTGATGGGAAAAGGTATTTAGCAGTTTATATTTACTGAAATAACTGCATTTCCATGTTCTGTGTACTGTGGGAGACCAGATATAGTGAATGTAGGGTCTGGGGAGAGCGGATGTAGTGAATGCGGGGTCCGGGGGGAGCGGATATAGTGAATGCAGGGTCCGGGGAGAGCGGATATAGTGAATGCAGGGTCCGGGGAGACCAGATATAGTGAATGTAGGGTCTGGGAGAGCGGATATAGTGAATGCGGGGTCCGGGGGGAGCGGATATAGTGAATGCAGGGTCCGGGGAGAGCGGATATAGTGAATGCAGGGTCCGGGGAGACCAGATATAGTGAATTCAGGGTCTGGGAAGACCAAGTATAGTGAATGCTGAGTCCAGGGAGGGTGGATATAGTGAATGCAGGGTCCAGGGAGAGTGGATATAGTGAATGCAGGGTCCAGAGAGAGTGGATATAGTGAATGCAGGGTCCGGGGAGAGCGGATATAGTGAATGCAGGGTCCAGGGAGAGCGGATATAGTGAATGCAGGGTCTGGGGAGAGCGGATATAGTGAATGCAGGGTCCCAGGAGACCGGATAGAGTGAATGCAGGGTCCGGGGAGAGCGGATATAGTGAATGCGGGGTCTAGTGAATGCAGGGTCCAGGGAGACCAGATATAGTGAATGCGGGGTCTGGGAAGACCGGGTATAGTGAATGCAGGGACCAGGGAGACCAGATATAGTGAATGCGGGGTCCAGGGAGGCCAGATATAGTGAATGCAGGGTCCGAGGAGACTGTATATAGTGAATGCGGGGTCCAGGGAGAGCAGATATAGTGAAAGCAGCGTCCGGGGAGAACGGATATAATGAATGCAGGGTCTGGGGAGACCGGATATAGTGAATGCAGGGTCCAGAGAGAGTGGATATAGTGAATGCAGGGTCTGGGGAGAGCGGATATAGTGAATGCAGGGTCCCGGGAGACCGGATAGAGTGAATGCAGGGTCCGGGAGAGCGGATATAGTGAATGCAGGGTCCGGGGAGAGCGGATATAGTGAATGTGGGGTCTGGGAAGACCGGGTATAATGAATGCAGGGACCAGGGAGACCAGATATAGTGAATGCGGGGTCCAGGGAGGCCAGATATAGTGAATGCAGGGTCCGAGGAGACTGTATATAATGAATGTGGGGTCCAGGGAGAGCAGATATAGTGAAAGCAGCGTCCGGGGAGAACGGATATAATGAATGCAGGGTCTGGGGAGACCGGATATAGTGAATGCAGGGTCCAGGGAGACCGGGTCTGATAGAGTGAATGCAGGGTCCAGGGGAGACCGGATAGAGTGAATGCAGGGTCCGGGGAGAGCGGATATAGTGAATGCAGGGTCCGGGGAGAGCGGATATAGTGAATGTGGGGTCTGGGAAGACCGGGTGGGAGACCAGATAGTGAATGCAGGGTCCAGGGAGTCCAGATATAGTGAATGCAGGGTCCGGGGAGACTCTATATAATGAATGCGGGGTCCAGGGAGAGCGGATATAGTGAATGCAGGGTCCGGGGAGAGCGGATATAGTGAATGCAGGGTCCAGAGAGAGTGGATATAGTGAATGCAGGGTCCAGAGAGAGTGGATATAGTGAATGCAGGGTCCAGAGAGAGTGGATATAGTGAATGCAGGGTCTGGGGAGAGCGGATATAGTGAATGCAGGGTCCAGAGAGAGTGGATATAGTGAATGCAGGGTCCAGGGAGAGTGGATATAGTGAATGCAGGGTCCGGGGAGAGCGGATATAGTGAATGTGGGGTCTAGTGAATGCAGGGTCCAGGGAGAGACCAGATATAGTGAATGCGGGGTCCTGGGAGAGCGGATATAGTGAATGCGGGGTCTGGGAAGACCAGGTATAGTGAATGCAGGGTCCAAGGAGACCAGATATAGTGAATGCGGGGTCCAGGGAGGCCAGATATAGTGAATGCAGGGTCCGGGGAGACTGTATATAATGAATGCGGGGTCCAGGGAGGCCAGATATAGTGAAAGCAGTGTCCGGGGAGAACGGATATAATGAATGCAGGGTCAGGGGAGACCGGATATAGTGAATGCAGGGTCCTGGGAGAACGGATATAATGAATGCAGGGTCTGGGGAGACCGGATATAGTGAATGCAGGGTCCAGAGAGAGTGGATATAGTGAATGCAGGGTCTGGGGAGAGCGGATATAGTGAATGCAGGGTCCCGGGAGACCGGATAGAGTGAATGCAGGGTCCGGGGAGAGTGGATATAGTGAATGCAGGGTCTGGGGAGAGCGGATATAGTGAATGCAGGGTCCCGGGAGACCGGATATAGTGAATGCAGGGTCCGGGGAGAGCGGATATAGTGAATGCGGGGTCTGGGAAGACCGGGGTATAGTGAATGCAGGGTCCGGGGAGAGCGGATATATAGTGAATGCGGGGTCCAGGGAGTCCAGATATAGTGAATGCAGGGTCCGGGGAGACTGTATATAATGAATGCGGGGTCCAGGGAGAGCGGATATAGTGAATGCAGGGTCCGGGGAGACCAGATATAGTGAAAGCAGCGTCCGGGGAGAACGGATATAATGAATGCAGGGTCTGGGGAGACCGGATATAGTGAATGCAGGGTCCGCCGGATATAGTGAATGCAGGGTCCGGGGGTCCGGGGGACCGGATATGGATATAGTGAATGCAGGGTTCGGAGAGACCAGATATAGTGAATGCAGGGTCCGGGGAGACCAGATATCATGAATGCAGGGTCCTGGAGGACTGGATATAGTGAATGCAGGGTCCGGGGAGACCAGATATAGTGAATGCAGGATCCGGGGAGAGCAGATATAGTGAATGCAGGGTCCTGGAGGACTGGATATAGTGAATGCAGGGTCCTGGGTTTAGTAAAACTTTAAGGGTTGCTCTAGCCTCCTGCTTGGGGATCAGCCAATTTAACTTAAACATGCAAATCTGAGCCTCCTCACAGCTTCCGTCCCTCTTCCAGAAAGTTCCAGCAGTTTCTGGAAGGGTAGAAGGGCTCCAAAAGCCCCGACCTGTAGAGCCTCCCAACCCGTCTTGAGGTGACCTCTCTACCTCACTCCCAGGCTGACTCATCCCATGCTCCTGACAAGCCTCTCACTCACAAAAATCCTATCTAGCTAAACCAGAGGGTGCTACACACCAACAGAAAGCTTTATTTATGTGGAAAAAAATTATATCAATTTCCTTTAGGTACAGTGTTGCATGATTGAGCAATTACCAGCTAAATAACAAAAAAAAAAACACCCCGGTCATGAAGGAGGTAAAACTTTCCGGGGGTCAAGTGGTGAATTATAAATCAGAAAGAACACAGCGCCCAGGACCAATCTATTAACAAACAATTATAAGTGAAATGCTGCTGTGCATAGGTATATAAACCAAAAACAAATATTCCAATATAAACCAGCGCAAAACACAATTATTAAATAATAATTAATAATAAGTAAATACAAAATTACTATTTTATAAATAATTTTCAAAGTACAGTGATAAAGATAAGTGACCACAATCCCGTAACAAGAAAACTAAAAAAACTAAAAAAAAATATAAAATTTAAAGTCCAGTGATCTAAAAAAAACTTTCTTAAAAAATAAAGTTCAGTGCTTCAAATAAATCTTCCACCATCCACCAGTGCCGGAACCAACATAAACCGCACTCACCAGATATTGGTGAGTAAAACACCTTTCAGGATTATTTAGGGCTCCTGGACCCCCTTTGAGGACTCCTCTTATTTTCCACCTCAGATCTATGGGTGATTCTCCATTCGTCTCCTCGCCAAATCACCAAGTTCCCAAAGGGGAGAAAAAAACTAATAGTGTAATACTGTTATACCCCTTTCTTAAATAATTCAAGCCAAACCACTCACATTTCAAAGGATAAAAACCAGCATTTATTTAACCACTTCCCGACCGGCTGTTGTATATAAACGGACGGACGGTGGCAGTGCAGGGTCGGGTGGCCGTCTATAAACGGCCTCCCTGCACCCTGCTTGTGCGCGCTCCCTGGGAGTGCGCAGCACCGCGATCCGGTGCCCGCTGTGTCCTCCGGACACAGTGAAACACCGATCGTCGGACGGGACCTCTATACGAGGTCCCGATCATGTGATCACTGATTGGCCAATCAGTGATCACATGCAAAGTAGTAAGCAAGATGTCACTTGTGACATCATTGCTTACTATGTGTGAAATCTGTGAATGATCACAGAGGTCACATGGTACAAGGCTGTTCACAAAAGCCTTGTACCATGTGACAAGCTGTGACCAATCACAGCTCACTCAGTTCTTCTCAATGAGTGCAAGAATGCACACAGAGAGAAAGAGAAATGATTGCTTTTACATCCTATATGGGTGTAAAAGCAATCAGTGTAAAAAAAATAAAAAAAATCTTCATCACCCCTCACAAGTAGTACAGTGTCACCATGGTGACACTGTACTGCTAGGGTGACAGTATGTAAAAAAAAAAAAAAAAAAAAAAAATAATAATATAAAAAAAATAAAATAAAAATGTAAAAAAAAATGTTTTAAAAAATTATAATTTTTGCTTATAAACTAATTTGGATTTTTTTTTTTTTTTACTAAAAAGATAACGGAATAAATTTTGGCTAAGATTTATGATGAAATATTATTTATTTGCAAAATTTTATAAAAAAAACACTTTTTTTCAAAATTTTTGGACTTTTCATTTACATAGCAAAAAAAATACAAATCCCAGTGGTGGATAAATACCACCAAAATAAAGCTTTATTTATCTCAAAAAAATGGTAAAAAATTATTTGGGTACAGTGTTGCATGACCGCGCAATTGTCATTCAAAGTGTGATAGCGCTAAAAGCTGAAAATTGCCCTGGTCAGGAAGGGAGTAAAAGTGTTTCGGTCTGGAAGTGGTAAAGGTCATCAATGAATTTTCGAATAGCAAAAAACGAATTTCCACAGCTCCTAGGAACTCACAGCCTCGTATACAGCAGGATGACAGCCTCCATAACGAACAAACTTTCTTTACTAGTCAAAGAATGTCCTCAAAGGGGGTCCAGGAGCCCTAAATAATCCTGAAAGGTGTTTTACTCACCAATATCTGGTGAGTGCGGTTTATGTTGGTTTCGGCACTGGTGGATGGTGGAAGATTTATTTGAAGCACTGAACTTTATTTTTTAAGAAAGTTTTTTTAGATCACTGGACTTTAAATTTTATATTTTTTTTAGTTTTTTTTGTTTTCTTGTCACGGGATTGTGGTCACTTATCTTTATCACTGTACTTTGAAAATTATTTATAAAATAGTAATTTTGTATTTATTACTAATTATTATTTAATAATTGTGTTTTGCGCTGGTTTATATTGGAATATAAGTGGTGAATTATAACTACAGGTTTTATTTTAAAATCCCTCTGCACCTCAATTCTAGAAACCCTTCCTGCAACTGACTTCAAAAGTGCCGAATGTAAACCTAGCAACTTGACCGCGTTCACCGGCAGAAACCTTTTTTTCTTTTTTTGCAAAAAAAAAAAACCCCCACTTTGAATCCTTCTGCAGCACGTATTTATGGAGCCGGCTACCAACTGGTTCTAGGTCTTTATAATTTACAAAGGAAATAATGTTGCCCATTTAATGTAAATATATCTTAATAGAACACGATGCGACTACAGCATTCCATGAAAAACACCATTTCCCCGCGTAGTTTCCCAGCAGCAGCAAACCCTATTTTCCGAGTTTAGCTCCGAAACTTCCACATTAAATAATCATAGAATCTGCAAACAGCCAAATTAAATACAGAGAAATAATGGTTAATGTCGTAATACACTGACAATTTAACCCAGCCAATATTTTTATTGCTTGCTTCTATAAAGGCAGCCGAGCACAACTTGCCTTTGACTGTAGCAAAATAGGTTATGGACCGTCTGGGAATGACCAATTTTTCAAACGCAGCCATACAGCGAGGCTGGAGCCACTAATACGGGTTTTTTTTTTTTCCTTCGCTCTATTGCTGGTATAATCTTCGGAGAATATTTTGTAACGGCAATAGCGTTTTAAAAATCAGTCTTTACCGCCGTTAATGAGTGGACAGCTGGAGCATTAACTGGCTTTGGCCTTGACTCTGGTCATTAAGTAAGAAACCAGTTGTTAGCAGGTAGCTTACCAACTTTTTCATTTTAGATTTTTTTTTTTTTTTTTCTGTGATAAAATGTCTTAATTGGTACGGGTTCCAATTTTTAAACTCCTCTTGCAGATGCGAATTGTGATCAATATAATTAACTATTAAATAGCGGATTGTGACATTTAGAAATTAAAAAATTGTAGGGGTTGGTTAATGAAGGTAGATGAAAGAATTACCTTTTTTTTTTTTTTTTTCCCAAATGCATTTTTTTGCTGGAGTTCTGCTCCTTTAAAGGGGATCACACCCTTTATTTACCCCCTTTCATCCTGAACACGCCCTTCATTAAATCATAAAATGGGAAGATGATGATGATAGATGCCCTACACAGGATAGGGCTGCATTTCATGTTTCCAGTTCTTCTTGTTCTGTTTGTGTCTGGTTCTAGGGGTGGGTAATTATGCAAACAATTGTCTCTCAAAAAATTCTGGAGTTGGCCTTGCTTTACACCAGGGGTCTCCAAACTTTTCAATCAAAGGGTCAGCTTACTGTCAGACTTTAGGGGGGCCGGATTATGGCCAGTGGAGGTAGAAAATGTCCCATCAGTGGGAATAAACATGGTCTCAGGGTTGGTGGTCAGTAGAAGGAGGAGTAGTGCCCCATCATTGGTATCAGTGGGAAGAAAAGTATCCATCATTGTTATCAGTGGAAGAAATAGTGTTCCTTTGTTGGTGTCAGTGGGAGCAATAGTGCCCCATCATTGATACTAGTTGGAGGAATAGTGCCCCATCATTGATACTAGTAGGAGGAATAGTGCCCCATCATTGCCACTAGTAGGAGGAATAGCACTCCATCATTGCCACTAGTAGGAGGAATAGAGCCCCATCCTTGATACTAATGGGAGGAATAGCACCCCATCATTGCCACTAGTAGGAGGAATAGTGCCCCATCATTGATACTAATGGGAGGAATAGCGCCCCATCATTGCCACTAGTAGGAGGAATAGTACCCCATCATTGATACTAGTCGGAGGAATAGTCCCCCATCATTGATACTAGTTGGAGGAATAGTGCCCCATCATTGATACTAGTAGGAGGAATAGTGCCCTATCATTGCCACTAGTAGGAGGAATAGCACCCCATCATTGCCACTAGTAGGAGGAATAGTGCCCCATCATTGATACTAATGGGAGGAATAGCGCCCCATCATTGCCACTAGTAGGAGGAATAGTGCCCCATCATTGATACTGATGGGAGGAATAGTGCCCCATCATTGCCACTAGTAGGAGGAATAGTGCCCCATCATTGATACTAATGGGAGGAATAGCGCCCCATCATTGCCACTAGTAGGAGGAATAGTGCCCCATCATTGATACTGATGGGAGGAATAGTGTCCCATCATTAGTGTCAGTGGGTGGAATTATGCCTCACTGTTGATATCAGTAGAAGGACCAATGCCTCATATCATTGGTATTAATAGTTCCCCAAGGGCTAGCAAAGGCCACATCCGGGCCACAGTTTGGAGACCACTGCTTTATACCCTTCACCCAATCAATCTATTCATAAGAATTATCAGCCTGTTTGCAGCAGGAATGTGGTGGAATGTGGGGGAACGTAGTTCCGGTACCAAGATCCAGCACTGAAGATATTTAATAGCAAGGGGTGCTGGGGTGTGCTGAAGGGTCTGTTGTTGCTGGGAGGGATCTATTGTTGCTGTTG